GTTATCGCATCCATCATAGCCGCCGCTCTGCTCTTGACAAGGCTACCGCTGACTTACTCGATCAAGGTATAATAACCCCAAGTACCTCACCCTGGTCCGCTCCAATTTACTGGTACCCCAAGAAAGATGGAAACACTGAGACCAGTTATTGACTACAGACGACCTAAACAAGTTAACTATTCCTGAACCATTTCCCATTCCCTCCCTTCGACTGTTATTACAAGACATTGGTACTAACAAACACAGTCTTCTCGACTCTCGACTTAGCTAAGGGATTTCATCAGTTACCCATGCACCCTGATTCCCAAAAGTTTACTGCTTTCTCCACCCCTTCTGGACACTGGGAATTCACAAGAATGCCTTTTGGCCTAAGAAACGCCCCATTGAGTTTTGCACGATTAATGTCCCTTGTCATGAGTGGTCTTGTTGGAAATGACGTACTCATTTATCTGGACGACCTATTGGTGGTGTCAAAGGATGTTGCCGAGCACGAAGTAAAACTCCGGAAGATTTTTAGTAGACTATGTGAAGCTGGATTGACCATTAACCCTCAGAAGTGCCGTTTTTTTCGCCTCTTCCCTTGGAATTTCTGGGTCATACCGTAACTTCAGCAGGAATCTCCCCTAATGATGATAAGGTAAAGAGCATAAGTAACTTCCCTGTCCCTAAGGATCAACACCAGATTAAGAGCTTCTTAGGTTTAGCAGGGTTTTACAGACCCTTCATACCCCATTTTGGCTCCATTGCAAGCCCTCTTTCCCGGCTACTTAAAAAAGACTCCGAATTTGTTTGGGGCAAGGATCAGGACTTTGCATTTCAATCCCTGAAATTTAAGTTAATTAAGTCGCCAGTATTAGCATTCCCGGATTTTTCCAAGCCCTTCATATTAGCAACTGACGCCTCTAATGTTGGCATTGGCTCTGCACTCATGCAAGAATTCGAGGGAAAGCTAAAGCCCATTGCTTTTGCAAGTCGAATCTTAAATATTGCCGAGAAGCGTTATTCGACATCTGACAAGGAATTGCTAAGCATTATATGGTCACCTCAAACATTTTCGAGAATTAATTCTAGGCTATGATATAGAAGTAAGAACGGACCATCAGCCACTGACCCATATCATGTCTTGCAAGGACCCTCATGGTAGATTGGCCAGGTATTTGGATACCTTACTAGAGTTCAACCCCTCGATTGTGTATACCCCTGGCCCTTGCAATAAGGTTGCAGATGCCTTATCTCGAGCACCTGTGTACTCCCTGTTCTCTGATAACTGCCCACCCCTGGATGCTCTAGATATCAATGACATAAAAGAAAAGCAGAGAAGTGACAGCTTGTATAAGGACATCATCAAAAGCCTAGAGGCTAACCCCAGTACCCCTTTACCCCCAAGAGCCCATCTTCCGGTTAAGGATTTTTACCTGGACGAGTCTGGCCTTCTCTTTAGATTGTCGACGCCCAGGAGGAAAGGAAGGAAGACAAAGATTAGTTATAGACAGTTAGTAGTCCCTGAGTGCCTTGTCCCCCTCATTCTTAAGTATTCCCATGAGTCATTGGAGGCAGCTCACGCTGGGGCTGCCAAAGCCATTCAGCGTGCTAGATCAAGATTCTACTTTCCCCGGCTTGTTCCAGAGAGTTTTGCGACATGTTAAGAGTTGTCGTGTCTGCCCATTATACAAGGGCTCAACCCATCAGCCTGCTCCTGCATTATTGTATGATATCCCTGACTTCCCCTTCCAGAAGGTATCTTGCGATACCCTTTCAGGATTTATACCATCCCCCAGGGGCAACAAATACATTCTAGTTTTCATTGATAACTTCAGCAGATACTGTGAGCTTGTTCCTGTACCGGACAAGTCAGCTCACACCATTGCTAGAGCCTTCTATAACAATATTATATGCAGATACCAATCCCCCCAGCAGCTCAGCAGCGATAATGGAACAGAATTCTGTAATAAGATCCTCTCACAGTTATGCAGCTTAATGAATGTCAAGAAAGTTAATATCCTCCCATACCGACCTCAGGCCAATGGTATTACAGAGAGACTGAACAAGACCATCTTAAACTTAATGAGAACTATGATTACTGACCATGATGATGACTGGGACCTCTACTTACCCATTGTACAATCAGCTATTAACTGCAATTATCATTCTTCACTCGGTGACATCCCTCATTTCCTGCTATTCGGTACGGACAAAAGACTTCCTTACGAGCTCTTGGATGCAAAGCCAGACCCCAACTATGATGACAACTATGCCAAGACACTACTTATCAGACAACAGAAAGCCTTTATGTTAGCCAAGGAAAAGTTGACTTTATCCAGGGATAAGATAATTGCAAACCAACATAAGATAGCAAGGATTAAGGCAGTTGAAGTCGGTGCACTAGTCTTTAGGAGCATAAAATCCACAAACTCTCCTATGCCCAAATTAGCCCCTATCTTCGATGGGCCCTACAGGGTACTACAGTGTCGCAATAACAAGGCACTTTGCAGGAGTTTAAAGGATGAGTCACAGACATGGCTCCACTTTGACCAGCTGAAGCTTGCTAATAAGTACTTTGTAGAGCAGTTCCCTGATTGCAGTGCCTCACCCTGACTCCAGGTCCTCTATGCTTGCAGATGAGTCCCGTCCTCTTCCTGTCCCTTCTCGCTGTTAGTGGCGCCCATCTCCCCGCGAATCTACGGAGCGTCCCTGGCGCCATTATAGAGGACCTTGGTGTAACCTACCCTGTCACTAATCATGTAGAGATCACTGTAGTACTCACCCCTTTATTAGAGTTCTCTTCACTTGCCACATTTCACCATGCCAAGCTCAAAGAGCTAAGATCATACATATATCATGATAAGATTTTGAATGGTACACAGAGAGAGCTTCTCACTCACATCCTGAATGCCACAATAGATGACTTGAGTAAATTCACTACCAACAACCATTCACGCTCTCGCCGTGGTCTTATCAATGCAATTGGAAATATTGCGCACGCATTTTTTGGTGTCATTGACGAAGACACCCTTAACAGCCGTCTTGCTGATTATAAGTCATCCCTACATAACGTCATTGCAAGATTTGACTCTTCGGTTCATGCATTAGATTACATTAGTAAGAACGTTAAATCACTTTCCACCTTATGCTCCAGTATTGAGGAGCAGTTACATACCTTATCTATGGATATCACTAACGTGCAACGATTCACCCACTTCGGTATTAGCGTATTTTCTTATCAGTTAGCTATACGTAATTTCATGAGTGATGTAGAGCGTTTCAGTACAGACCTAATAATGGCTGCCCGTGGCGAGGTCCTTCCAGGATTAATATCCCCACATGATATGCATAACTTCATAACCAGGGTCACCTCTATGTCTTACCAGACCCTTTTTAACCTTGGAGACACAACACTCTTCTACACCCACCTACGTTCTTACCTGACACCCCGTGGCCTGTCCGTCCTTATACCCCTCCTACCCTTAAACACATTTCAAACATACCGTATACACCCCTTTCCTCACATTACTAACAGTACCCCATGTATCCTCTCTTCTGCCCCCACTATCATCCTTAAGTCCCTACAAGGTCAGTCCCTATCCATTCCATCCCCTGACTTCCTTGATGGGTGTCTAAGGCCATCACCCCGTCGTTTCATATGCTACACACACGCCCTACCACAGACCAATTACAACATTCCATCTTGTTCACGTGCCCTCATGTCTAGCATCAACATACACTCCCAGTGCACTTTTGACGAGATTCCCCTTTCACCATATCCCTTTGTCCTGTCCTTACCTGATGTGTCAATCCTACACTTCTTCCAAGTTACAACAGCAACTCTTAAATGCCATGATGCACCCAATGACACACTTATTACAGGCACATTTGTACTACCCCACACTTGCCAACTCACTACTTCTTCAATTACCATACCAGCAACACGCGTCTTACTCCTATCTTCCAGACTAAGTGCTCCGGTGAACACCCCTTTTAGCTTACCACTACCAACATTTAATGTAACACTACCAAGATCAAGCCTTCGATTACTCCCACCACCTGATGACATACCTATGCTCTTCCTTGATTCACATCACACTACATTTGGCTACCCTGTCTACATCACCCTTCTTGGCATCCTCATTGTCTTCCTTTCCTTCTATATCTATCGTAAGGTCACCATTCGTCGCCTCGGCGAACGGATAGAACAAGGTAACAACTAACCACCCCCCACACCACCTGAGAGACTGGTCATGCACAGGTTTGGACTTCGTCAACTGGTTGCGCATGGCACAGACAGTGGCACTTGACGCGTCGCTACTACTCGGACCCGGCAGTCGACCTTCGTGGCAACCTTTGCATTCTGCCTCACAGCATGTCAGGCACTAGAGGGACCTGCCACCTACCAGCGGCCGCTGACCTCGCCACAGTAATTCTTCTGCCATTTCAACGTTACAGATGTTGCAGATGGCTCGAGGACGAGCCTTGTACGTGGCCGAGCGATATAAACAACATCCGGAGGGTGGTGCTCCACACATCTGTCCCTGGCTGAACAAAGGCTGCGCCTTCCCGTCGCCGCCTCCTGAGTCCACCTTATCACAGGAAGCAGCCACTTCGCACCTTCCACTCCTGACCCTGGTTTACCCAAGGACCTCCTAGGTGACCTACATGTCCCCCTCAAGCAAGCCCAGCGACTCACCCCCCTGTCACGGTCTGATAACCTGACACTCCAGCCGCGGAAGCAAACTCCGCCCAGGACGTAGCCGCGGAATAAAAGGGGGACATTCGCCATACCTCGGCAGAAGGAGCTCAGCTTGCATCCACTCACCTTGTAGCGAATAAAGCCAAAAGCCAAGGCCACTTTCATTATCCGCCTTAAGTCCATCTCTAGTGTCGCTTACAACTACCACTAACAATAACAACCACCAATAACAACCCCAATAAAAAACAACAACAATGGTAACTTTCACAACGCGATTTACAATAACAACTCCCTCACCCCTTTGTTAATCTTTCAGTGGTGCGCCATCTGGGGGACCATTCTTACGTCGTCCTGTCTCATGTGCATGGGTTTTGTTCTCCTTGTTGATGGGATAGACAACACGGCAGGATATAGCCTTCTATTTTCTGGAGGTGAGACTGTTAGGGTGGTATGTGTGTGTGGAATGGGATAGTATTCTTTTAGTGTGTGTGTGTGTGTTTTTTCCGTGTGTAGTTTGTGATGTAAGTGGAGTGTGTGTTTATTTGGTCTTGGTTTTATTTATTTATTTATTTATTTTTATTAATTTGAGTGTACTTTTATGTTTTCCAAATAGCTAGATTGTACTAGTGTTTGTACTTGCATAGGTATTCACATGCTCATCCACATACCTATTATGTATATCCACAAACCCATTTTTCCCGACATTCCAGGTATACTACTGGCGCTATCGATAATGGCCGCCCTTGGCAAATGCAGACTTAACAGGACCTACGGCCAAGGCGTGAACCACGACCCCCCTCCTTCGTACAGGTGGTCGTGGAGGAGGTCGTTCCTGAGGAGACACCCGTCCTGCAGGTAAGCGTGGAGGGGGGGGGGGGAGGAGGAAGGGGGGTAGGAAGGGAGGGTAGGGAGAGATGGAGGGAAGGGAATAGAAGGAAAGAGAGGGTAGGAGAAGGGAGAAAAGAAAGGGGAGGGGAGGGGTAGAGAGAGAGGGAGGGAGAGGGTGAGGAAGGGAGAAGGATGAGAGAGAGTAGGGAGAGGGAAAGAGAAGAAGGGAATGATAAGGAAAACGGGGTAGGTAAAGGGAGGAAGAAAGGAGAGAGAGAGTGAGAAAGATAGAAAGACAGAGGGTATATATTTATAAATTCAAAACGACATATCCCCTCAAAAAAAGAAAAGAAAAGAAAAAAAACGAAACATATATTTCTCTCTCTTTCTCTCTCAAAAAAGAAAAAAAAATCACACAGACAAAAGTTTGTCACCATTCCTGCCCTAGCTAATAATCTACTGGCAAATGCAGTCTAGTTCCTGAGCATGACTGATTTGATAAAGAGGATGCCGATAATCTACATAAAATACATAGACACCAGTAAATAAATAAATAATAAAAAAAACCTGAAAAGGGAGAAAATAAAAAATGTGAAGAAACAGAAAACCAAAGATTATTTCGCCCGCATTTGCTACGGCGATTTAAGGTGAAAATGACATTTAAAAGATATAAATCAATCATTCGCGCTCGCACACATACATGCACACACACAAACACACACTTAAACAAACACACTCAAACATACATACACTCAAGCAAACACACACTTAAACAAACACACTCAAACAAACACACTCAAAACCACACATCTAACATAAACACAAGCAAAACTAATCATAAACACACAAGCCTTCATTTCCGCTGTCAGAAAGTGTCTCTAATCTCTCATTCGCGACTCCCGACCCGGACGCGACAGCAACGGTGCCAATTTTCCACGCTGTTGCCAAAAGTTCAACTTCACCTCCATTCCTAGGAATCGTGCTTAAGCCAATCGCCCCGTGTGGCAAGAATGCATGCCATGCCCAATGTAATACAAGTTTACTTATTGCAGTTACACATAGATGGCTCTACAAGTGCTTAGTCACCAAGGAGTCGGTTATTAGTCCTGCGTATCTCACCTGTTTACCCTTTTTCTCGACTTTTGGAAAGGGTCTTTTGCATTTTTTCATTGTCTTAGATGTTATCGAGATTTTAATAACAATTTAATAATCATAACATCAATAACAATAATTACAGTATCGATATCAACTGCATTAAAAATAAAAACATTTTCCCGCCAATTCAAGGAACGTGGAAATCAGGATCGGTCACTAGGGCTGCTGATAGACTCCTTGCCGGCTGAGCACATGTGGAGCCATATGTTTGTAACATAAAAAAAAAAAAAAAAAAATACAGGGGACAGAACATAATAGTTAAGGAATCTGATTTTATTTTTCGAATTATATTGGATTATCAATCACTATTTTACTTATAATACATCAGGAAATAGCCGTTTATACAAGTTCTTAGTTATTAACATCTTGACATTACAAGTAGAACGATTTTAGAACTATCGAAATCAGTTGAAAATGCTTTTTCCTTCGTTTAACGGCATCGGTTTCAAATGTCACACTCCTTTACATGTTTTGAATGTGTCACTTTTTTATCTATTGATATTAATAGCATTTAAAAAGATTCATGAGTTTACGCCTCCATATTCAGTTTTACGTACACAAGAAGTAAACTGATTATGCAGAACTTAATATAACTTTTCGTAATATCCTTTTGGACATTCAGACAAATCCTGTAAACAAAACATAAATCTGTCAGAGATACCTCCCATATCTCATCCGTCCACGGTTAAATTATAAATGATATAATAAAAACAATGATGACTATTGTTGCCTGTGCATGGCATATTAAAATGTCTTGATTAAAAGCGTATATGGTCTTATTATTAAGAAAGCATTTTCATACTGAAACATATACTCTACATTATGTAGTGTAGATTTTCAAGATAAACACTTAGTTACTAGAGTATGGCGATCTATTGAAATGTTCACATGTTTTCCCGTATTACGTAAGTGTAGAGAGATATTTCCTAGGATCACGTTATTTTTTAGGATCAACGTTACAATCCCACTGCACTACATAGCGAGAAATCTTAGTGAAAATCTTATCAGTTTTCGTATCTGCTCAATGAGAGACGGCAGTTGGCTGGGACAATACAAAGATATCATTATTCTTTGCGGTCTCGCTGCCACTTATCACCTGAAAAAAAAGCTTTGTAGCTTTATCGAGGGCAAAGTGTAGATTTGTAAGCCTTCGCATATAGTTATGCAATTGGGAATTTCATCATGTCTTTTTCTTTCTTTCTTTCTTTGTGTGTGTGTGTGTGTGTGTGTGTGTGTGTGTGTGTGTGTGTGTGTGTGTGTGTGTGTGTGTGTGTGTGTGTGTGTGTGTGTGTGTTACTTGGCTTTCAAGAGAGTGCATTGAATGCAGGTTAAGATTTGAGATCTATGTTGTTTTTCTTTATGTATGATGAATGTTTTGAATTTGTTTATCAGGAATAATATGTATGTGTATATTTCGAAATATAATGTATGTTGACAATGCATGGGGACATCTATTACGTTAAAGGGAAATAGTATAACTATTCTGTCATTCCGAATAAGTTGATGTAATCGATTTTGAGAGTTTGTTGTCTTAGTTATCATTAACATTGTTTTTATCATTATTATTTACTGCTAGTACTGCTACTGCTATTACTGCTATTGCTACAACTACAACAATAACAAAACAACAACAACAAAACAACAGCTACTACTACTACTGCTAATAAAAATAATAATATTGTATTATTTTGATCAGAAAGGCTTTGTGAATATGTTAACTCAGTACTTGCATCTTCACTTTCCAAAATACATCCGTAGTCTAGGTTAAAGCACGGAGGCGAGACAATCCCATTCATTCCCCCATTAAATAAACTAATTCATCATTTCCAGAACAACAGACCATCGGCTGATTTCCCGCAACAGACAGGGAGAAAACGGAACTGTCAACCAAGCCACAGATTCCCAAGATGGCGAAATTAATGAAACTCTTTCATCTTATTCCGTTTCCACGATCCGTGTGACAGGTTCTCCACGGAATAACATGTCTGACATATCTATCCCTATGTCTGGCACTCCTGCAGAAGGAGAAAGATACGCGGAAGAGGGTCGTTTAAGCGTAAACACACTCATACATGCTCATTCATTTTCGTCTGTAGTTGACCCGCCATGTTACGAAGTGGCTGTCGCTAATATGGACGAAGGGACGCTCAGGAAACTAAAATCGGAGATGGATTTGCGTACAATGTCTCGCGTGGTGGAGTTTGCAGAGGGAGTGAAACGACTTGGGGAGTCGTAGAGAATGGGTGGGATTATAGTGCTCTGGAATTGTGAAAAATGGTGATGGTGAATGGAGAAAAAAAAAACATTGTAAATTGGAGAATGGAAATATGAGAAAACATGGAAGACGTAATGGTGAAAAACATTGTAAAACGGAGAAAGGAAACATGAGAAAACAGGAAAGACGCAATGATGAAAAACATTGTAAAACGGAGAAAGGAAACACGAGAAAACATGAAAGACGATAAAGATTTAAAAAAAGCGAGTTTAAGAGAAGGTAGTCAAGGCGAGGGAATCAGGTTCTTATTATCAGTCGCATATTCCCGACACTTTTTTGTTTAATTATTTAACGTGATGCAACTTTGAGTATTATATATCATGCAGTGCAACCGTCAGCTGTTCTCTCAATCATTATGCAACATATCTCTCTTAATATGTAATTGTCAGCTGTTATTTCTCTCATTACGTGTGTTGCATCACGACAACAGAAGAGCAAAGTCGACATTTTCCTTCGTGATCGAATGATTTCTCACACCTCAGTTCCCCTTTATTATTATTAAGATTCTCTATACATGATGATTATTTTTGATAGTTGTAGCTTTTAAGAGACTGTGTTGCGCTTTGTGATATTCCTGTTTTTCTTTTATACTGTTAATAAAAATGTGAAAAATTCGTATACTTTTGTTTCGTGTCTGAACCACTAGTTCATTATTTCATTTGCACACATATAAATGGACAACAATATCCGTCTACCTGTCTGTTGATTTACACACACACACACAGACATACATATATATATATATAAATACATATATACATGTACATATATATAAATATATGTATATATATGTATGTATATATAGTATATAGTATATATATATATATATATATATATATATATATATATATATATATATATATATATATATATATATATATATATATATATATATATATATATATATATATATATATATATATATATATATATATATATATATATATATATATATATATATATATATATATATGCATGTATATGCACATATATTCATACACACACATATATATATACATATATACACATATACATATATACATATATGTATGCATATATGATATATATATATATATATATATATATATATATATATATATATATATGTAGAGAGAGAGAGAGAGAGAGAGAGAGAGATTCATACACACACACACACACACACACATGTATATATATACAGAGAGAGAGAGAGAGAGAGAGAGAGAGAGAGAGAGAGAGAGAGAGAGAGAGAGAGAGAGATTCATACACACACACACACACACATATATACAGAGAGAGAGAGAGAGAGAGAGAGAGAGACTAAAAAGAACATCTGAATAACTAGAGAAAGGTAAGCTGTCCCCCGTGACCATGATAATGAAAGATGAATGCTCTTCACTGAAATAAAGCGTCCACGTGAAATAGGCCGTAGAAGGGATTTATACCTGAATTACTGAACACATGAACAGTTCTCAGGCTAAGATGCGATTATTCATAAGAGAAGAGAGAGAAATGTGGAGAAATAGGAGGAGGAAGAGGAGGAGAGGTAAATTTATATTAAGAGATTATTACGATGATAATGATTATCATTATCGTTATAATTATTATGGTTATCATTATTGTTATTATTATTATTATCATTATTATTATTATTATCATTATCATCATCATTGTTATCATTATTATTATTGTTATTATTTTTATTATTATTATTATTATTATTATTATCATTATTATTGTTATTATTTTTGTTATTGTTATTATTGTTGTCATTATCATTATTATAAAGATGATTATCATTCTTATTGATATTATTAATATCATTATCATTATCATTATCATTACCATTATTACTGGTATCACCATCATTACTATCATTACAACTGTCATTATCATTATTATTATCATCATCATCTTTTGAATATCTGAAAGAACGTCAGATTTCCCTTAAAAGAAACAACCAAGAAAACTTTTATCTTTAATTTCTTTAGATCTGTCAGGCCTAAGGAGGAAAACTGTACTTGATAAGATACTAGACGTTCCAACTCAAAAAAACAACAACAAAAAAACACAGCTGTCAACTCATCCCGGTTTGTGGAGGACTCTGAATCGCCAAGATAATAATAATAATAATGATGATTAATAATAATAATAATAATCATTGTTATAGTGGTAGTAGTAGTAGTAGTAACTGACTGTGTTCGCTTCTCTCGCTATACTTGTCCCCCCCCCCCCCACCTGTTATTAATGAAACTGGAGAGGATGGTAGGAACCACTGGAACAGTCCGTCGAATATTATTTATTTTAATAATAATAATAATAATAGTAATAATGATAATGATAATAATAATAATAATAATAATAATAATAATAATAATAATAATAGTAATAATAATAATGATAATAATTATAACAATAATAATAATAATGATAATAAAAATAATGATAATAATAATAACAATAGGACTACAAAACTAAGAGAAAATATAAGTTTAAAATCATTGGAAGTCAGCGGCGCCCTTGGGGATCAGTGAGAGAGCGGGAACGTACCTTCTGGCGAGGCGAAAAGTAGGGCAAGGTTAGACAGCGGCCTGACCCAAAGTCTAAATACAAATAGAAATGATGATAATAGAAATAGGTTTCTTTGTAAATGATTTTGAAAGAAACTTCTTATGTTGGTCTTGAGATGTAAGAGATATTGGGTGATTTTTTTTGCGTGTGATTTGACATGATTGTGTATTTTATGTATAGTTCTGTATTCCTTGTAGTTATATTTATTTATTATTTGGGATTATAGTTAACCATTTCACTGTGATTGCATTTATGGCAAAAACGCACTAAAAGAATAAAGAAACTTGTAAGAGCCAAGATTCACTAATTTAGACAGAAGAGCATCACCAGCAAGCTCATACTTATGCTTAAATTCAAGTTCTTTTAATTTTTCTTGCCGATTTTCAATACAGCATGCACATTTATATTTTGTCGAATATTTTGTTGATCTAAATATACCGCCCCTTTAGTACTTAATTATTATTTTTATTTAATTCTTTATTTTTCATGTACAGCCTGCTTGCCATATATATATATATATATATATATATATATATATATATATATATATATATATATATATATATATATATATTTATTTATTTAATTGTTAAGGGTCACATTCTATTTGATAAAACGCGAGCTTATACCGGATTATTGTGGGCAGTAAGTGAATTTTAGGTGATCAATTATTCCTTTCATTATCGTGTCAACTTTGCATCTACGGCATCGCATGAGGTATGTCAAAGTCTACGGTTCGACACCCCTCTTTTCACTGCTCAAATTTACGACTGACTTCACTTCACCTGGCGTTTTTTTGCAGTACAAGATAATATATATATATATATATATATATATATATATATATATATATATATATATATATATATGATATATATATATATATATATATATATATATATATATATATATATATATACATACATATACACATATACACGTGTATATGTATATATATATATACATACATATACACATGTACATATGTATGTGTATATATATATATATGTATATATATATATATATATATATATATATATATATATATATATATATATATATATATATATATATATTTGACTGGCCACACATGGATACTGATCCTATATGACACCTGCTCTTAACATTTATATAATTATAGAGTGTCTTGGGAGGGTAATGGTCTCCCAAGTAGAGTCTGGGGGGGAGGGGGGAGGGGCAGATTATCAGGATATTGAAATGGTTAATGGTTAAAAGCAAAATAAATGTGCTAGACATCTAAGGTCATGTAGCACTATAGTAAATGTTAGTAAGGAGTGGTTAAGTTAGTGATTAGTTGTCAAAGCTGGGCAAAGGAATAGGTGAGTGAATGGGTTAAGGTCAGGTGAGGTAATGTAAAGGGGTTAGATTAAGTGAGGGATATTTATGCGTTTGAGAGGAAAACAGGTTGTCGAAGCAGAATAGGTTGGGAGGTCGGCTGAAGGGAGGATAGGTGGGGGGGAAGCAGAGGTACAGGCTGCTTCAAAACGTGTGCATGATAATAGAATGTGTGAGACTGAAAGAGGAATATTACATAAGGAAGCATAGGGGTGGATCAGGATTGTGACATCAGATAGGGGTGTGTTAGACGGGTGTGGAAGGGGATGCTTGTGATATAAGGGATTCACGTGTGCATCCAGGAGGGAGTGGAAGGGATAGAGGAGATGGTGGGAGGGTTAATATGGGTGTGGTTGGAGTTGGGAGGGATGGGAGGGGGTAGGAGGATAGGGTGTAGGGGGGATATCGTTAGGAGGAGGATGGATATCGGCAGTCACTTGGTGTGTGGAGGGAGTAGGAGTTGTAGGATTTGAACGTTGATGGGTGTCAGTTTTCATTAAGAAGTCTTGAATATTTGCAAGAGTTTCTTCAATGGAGTTGGTTGGGGAGTTTTGTGGGATAAAGGACTTCTTGTGAGGGGGGGAAGAGAAGACTGGTGTCTCAAGAGTAGGGGCAAAGGAAGGTGGAGGTGAATGTGTGGAAGGGGAAGAGGGGGTGGAACGTTTGTTTTGCCTGTTGCGGGTAGTGCGGGGAGGGAGAGGGGAAGGTGTTGGGGTTGTAGTGAAGATTGGAGTGTCTGTAGTAGAGATTGAAGTGTCTGGATTTAGGATGGCAAAAGAGTTTGACTGGGGAAGGTAGGAGGTAGAAGAGGGGGAGTTAGATGGAGGGGGGGTAGGTTTAGGAGAGGATGTAGGAGCTTGGGAGGTAGGGGAAGTGGTAGAATGAGCAATATTACTGGAGTTGGGATTAAGAGAAAAACCTCGTCGGCGTGCTTCCTGTCTGGCTTCACGTAGTGTGAGTCCAAGTTTGAATCTGAGAGTTGCTACCTCAGACTCAAATTTGTAGGTGGGGCATACATCTTTGTCATAGATTGGGCAGTTTGCTGGGGAGATAGAAACAGATCCGGTGCAAGTATTGAGGGTTGGATGGGGTTCTGCAAGGATAGGGTTACCATATAGATCAGTTAGTTTTGCTAATGCTATAGCTTGGGATTCAGAGGTTACTGTGACGACATGAGAGCGGTCGGGTCGGCTACGGAAAGAGACTTTGCCTACTTGTTTTTGGAGACATTGCTGGAAGAGAAGGGTGTTGTCAGAGTAGGGAACTGTGGGAGGGATCACGAAAAATCGGTCCCATTTGGCTGGGCTAAATAGAGTATTTAGGATTGTTGTAGAGATAGGGGTAGTAGAAGGGCGGGGGCGTGTCGAAGAGGGAGTACTGTTGAGGGAGGTATTGTTATGGAGAGGTGGGCAGTAAGGCTGTAAGGTATTGATAAGGGAGGATGGGGTAGTTGATATAGAAGGTTGTGGGGGTAGAGGTGTTGGGAGAGTAGGAATGTCTCTAGGGGGTTGAGTGTTGACTACTGTACTAGTAGGCATTGAGTAGAGGGTAGTTGTTGCAGTGTTCGAAGCCGTGGTCAAAGGAGAGCCTGGGGTCAGGGAATCGGGAGGATTTGAATTGTTGGGGCTATTTGATGAAGGGGCAAGCCTCATTGCCCCCAATAGTGGGGTTACGTTTTCATTATTGGCCATGGTAAGCCAAGAGTATGTTGGGGAGAAAAACAGTCCACCCCTCAGGGTCCCCTTGAGGGGTAAGGGCTAGGCCTAAGCAAGGGAATACCGTGCCCATGGCTCCCTCAGGCCGTTCAGGACTGGCACCAAGTCAACCTTTCATCCTTTCAGCACGGCTCTCACACCTTAGGAGGTGGATAGTAGAAGGGATTGGTGAAGGGACAGAACGAAAATGTAGGAAGGGAAAAAAGACCATGCAAAATTAGTTGAGTCGAGGGCCGAGTCCCAAGGCTGGGGAGTTCCCCATCATTGGGTCCCAGTCTCCGCCTCCTAAGCCCCCCCACGACAACAACGGGCAAGGGATTGGGGGGGTCACGATGTTGAAAACAAGGGAAAGTGTATCATCATCCAGCGGAATAATGACAAGGTGTACACTCCTGCTTTCTGTTACCATGCGGGTTGTGGGGTTTTCAAATATAAATATTCATCACTGTTGATGCCTGTCTTTATGGTGTTTATCTCTTCTTACTTAAATTCTTTTTACTTATTCATTATCATCACCATTATTTTATTTATCAATTATTTATATATGTCTTTTCACGTACATACAAATATATGCATCCATTCATTTGTTTAAATGTGTATTGTGTTCCTCTCTCTCATGTGAATTCCTACGAGTTTGTCTTTGATAGATTAATTTAATAATAGATGCAATTCATTAATAAGGTATATATAAAATATGTTCTTCAATAAACAAAATGCGATTTATTTCACAAATTACAAGGATAACGATAAGATCATGGAGGAATTAATTCATGGAAAATAATGTCATCTTTTTGTCTCTCATTCCGTTCTCAATAGACCTTTCTTGTAATTTGTATAAGAAAAGAAAAAGAAGAAAAAAGAAATATTTGTAAATGTGCAAAGGGTTTAAGTGAAACTCATTTAGAAAAATACATTTATTGATTACAATGTCATAATTCTTTGATAAAATTTGGTGTTCTACACCTATATCTCAAATAAAAAAAAATCTAAAACCTGTATTGCTAGATTTAAATTTCTACATAGGATATTTTCATTTTTGGATGAGAGAGAGAGAGAGAGAGAGAGAGAGAGAGAGAGAGAGAGAGAGAGAGAGAGAGAGAGAGAGAGAGAGAGAGAGAGAGAGAGAGAGAGATTAAGTTTCTTCATCTATAAATAAATTCTTAAATAACTTTATGGATTTACATCCCATTCCTACTTCAAAAGTAAGTCAGCCCCATATAGTCTTGCAATACTGCAGTCGAAGTTCATACAAAGCATTGAACAACATTTTCTGATCTTGCATATCATATAAAACCCTCAGAGGCAACATTGTCACTTTCCCTCTTTGTTTTATCTCTCGTATCTTCATCTTTTTCATCTAGATATTTGTCATTGGCCATCTTGCTTCCTACCTACCAACATTCACATTTCATTTCTCCTACAAAACTGCACCCTAGTGAAAAGCAACAAACTTTTCATTTACCGATACTTTCAAATTGTTTTGCGTTTTTTTTTTTCCCCACCGTAATTCACCATTCTCAGAGGCAGCCTATTGGTCCTATTGATAGAGCAGTAGATAGAACGTATTGGCACTTATTTGTCTGTTTCTATTCCCAGGTTACGTTATCAAACAATACCTGTTTTTTTTTTTTTTCTGCACATTCTCAGTGGCTACCATCTAGCACTGATTGTAGTAGTAGTAGTAGTAGTAGTAGTAGTAGTAGTAGTAGTAGCAGTAGCAGTAATAGTAATAGTAGTAGTATTAATAGTAATAATAGTAATAATAATAATAATAATAATAATAATAATAATAATAATAATAATAATAATAGTAGTAGTAGCAGTAATAGTAATAGTAGTAGTATTAATAGTAATAATAGTAATAATAATAGTAGTAGTAGTAGTAGTAGTAGTAGTAGTAGTAGTAGTAGTAGTAGTAGTAGCAGTAGTAGTAAAAAATGTCCACTTAAAGGAAAAGGAAATCTAAGGTAAATTCTCAAATTACAGATAAGTGTCTTTCACTGAAATACAACATTGCTGTAGTGCAGCAGGAAAGGAAACACAGCAACCATAAAACGGAACTGGGTGTTGGAAAAGAAAGAAAGAAAGAAAGAAAGAAAGAAAGAGAGAGAGAAAGTGACTGGGGTCAGGCCGCTTGTAGAATACAGTGTCAAACTAATTATTTGTAGCACAACTCTACTAGCCCTAATTTTCTTTCGCACATCTATTTTGTATGACGTTGTTACACGCATAATTTCTAATCACAATGAAAATAAATAAATAAATAAATAAATAAATACATAATAAACAAAAATTAATAACTGCACTGCACATGCCATCCATCACCTGCCATTAGTACATAGGGAGATGCATGACTTTCATCAGAATTACAGCAATAAATAATTACGAATGAATATTAGATCTGTCGCCACGCTTTGTAACACTCATGGCGTTTTAGAAGCAGGCTATGGGATCGAACATTTAATTTTCAACACATTTACATTTGGTTTTTACATATTAGCAACTATGTAACATTTTATTTTTCCCTATCTGTGCACCTGCTGTTCATTAATATTTCCCAACCACCTTCTTAGCAGTGGATATTGCTATTTTCAATAGCTATTTAATTTCCTTGCAGCCAAAGACTTGGTGAACATCCAGCTTATTCCAGTCTTGGTTTCATGTAGCATGAAAACTTAAATTAGCTTTTTCCAAAATAATTTCTAAGGGCACTACTGATGATACTGAAATAATTCCAAATTGACTATAAATCTTCCTTAGCCTTGTTCTGTTGCACTCGTTATCTCAGATACAAGGGATTTATTTCATTATATCCCATCCATATATGGCTGTTAGGGGCAAAATTCATCATGAATCTTGCAAATACAGAATCTTTCTCTTCTTCCTGATGCCTCCCCCCCCCCCCCATCCATTGCTTGTTGTTGTGGGGGAGGGGGG